TAAACAAGTTTTATCCACCCAACAAAACTGCGAGGTAGATTGATGAGATATTGCAATTCAAGCAGAAACCGACTGAGACTTTTCAAGAGACCTGGGAGAGGTTTAAGGACATGTTGGTGAAGTGCCATCACCATGCCATTCCGGATCAGATGTTGGGATAGAGATTCTATATGGGTTTGGCTGACAGTCTGAAGGCCAATGTAGATGCTTCTACCGGGGGTGCATTCTTGAGCAAAACTTTCACAGAGTGCAAGATTCTTCTTGACAAAATGTCTCAAAATTCAGGCTGGATGACGAGAGACACAACACTCACTCCAATAGTGCATTCTGTCGCCCTTGACCCAAACAACACACATGCAGAAAACATAGCCACTCTTATGACCCAGATGAGCTTGCTGACAAAGAAAATCGATGAGATGGGTACGAAACAGGTGCATATTGTGGATACCACAAATGGAGGCTTGTGTACTCCTTGCATTAACCAGCCATATGTGTGCTCGTGGAGTGGAGAATGACAACCAGAGATTCACAGAAGACATGAATTATGTCAATAACTTTGGAGGTCAGAGGCAAGGTGGGCAGCAACGGGGACCAACAGCAAACCATCAGTACAGACCGAACCAGCCACAACACAACCCCAACCCAGGAGGAGCACGACCACAAGGCCAAATCATACCTTATCAAAGGCAACATGTCTATAATCAGCAACACCAACAACAATTGACCTACTAACCACCTCATCAGCAGCATGATAGTAACATGATCGAAATCAGGGGTATGCTGCAACAACTCATTGGGACAAATGGAAAGATGCAAGAGAAGTTAGGTGCACATGATTCAGCAATCAAAGGCATTGAAACTCAATTGGGACAGCTATCTATGCCCTTGAACAATCGCCCACAAGGAACATTGCCTGCAGATACAAACGTTAATCCAAAGGAGCAGAACTCGAATCAGCTCATGGCAGTGAGTCTCAAGAATGGGAGAGATTTAGACAAGGAGCAAGAAGTTGCTCAACTTAGGAGAGAGACAACGCCAACTACTCCAGCTGCCCCAGTTACATTAGAGACCGATGAGTCGGCAGAGCTCACCGAGGTTGTAATCGAGCAAGCGCAGGTTGACAAAGGGAAGGAGAAGGAAGGTGAACAACTCCCAGAACAGGTAGTAGAAAAAGCTTCCAGCAAAGAAAAGACGCAAAGCAGTGGGCAGAGGTTGATTCCTACACCATTCCCTTAGAGGTTGGCAAAGCAAAAGAAAGATGATCAATACAGGAAATTCATGGAAATGCTTAGACAAATTCAATTGAATATTCCACTGATGGATGGTTTGAGGGAAATGCCAGGGTATGAAAAAATGATGAAGGACCTGATGTCGCAAAAATTTGACTTCCAGGACCTGTCCACTGTAACTCTGACGCGGATCTGTCGTGCGTAGTGACAAGACCTATGGCTCAAAAGGTTTCTGATCCAGGTAGTTTCACTATCCCATGCACCATTGGGAGTTATGCTTTTGCTAAAGCATTGTATGATTTGGGAGCCAACATAAACTTGATGCCCTTGGCAATCTATACAAAACTAGGCATTGGCAGAGCTAGACCGACCTCAATGTTGCTGCAACTGGTTGATCGCACAGTGAAAAGACCGATCGGAATTCTTGATGATGTGCTTGTTCAAGTGGGGAAATTTGTATTCCCTGCTGACTTCGTCATTCTTGACTGTCAAGTGGATGAAGAGATACCAATCATTCTGGGCAGGCCGTTTCTAGCCACTGGGAGAGCATTGATTGATTGTGAGACTGGGGAATTGAAAATGAGGTTGAACAACGAAGAAGTCATATTCAATGTTCAACAATCTATGAGGAGACCCAGCGAATTTGCAAATTGCTCACTAGTGGAGGCCTTAGATGTGATACTACATGAGGAGGATGAGACTATTAATGTCAGGGATCCGTTAGAAGCTTGCTTGATGAATCTGGAACATGTGGATGGTGAGGAGTTGGCAGAGTGTGTCATGGCTCTCGAAGGTCAAGGGTTCTGGGCAAGGGAACCCCAGTTCGAGCCCCTACACTTAGAAGAAAGAACACTACCACCTGCGAAACCATCGATAGAGGAGCCACCACAGTTGGACCTGAAACCGCTTCCAGCTCACCTCAAGTACGCTTTCTTAGGGCCTAATTCTACTTTACCTATTATTATATCATCAGGTTTGCTAGCTGTGCAGGTAGAGCAACTCTTACAGGTGTTACAGGAATGTAAGACTGCCATTGGTTGGACCATGGAGGACATAAAGGGTATCAGCCCAGCTTTTGGTATGCACAAGATTCTCCTGGAAGAAGGGCACAAACCTTCCAAAGAACATCAACGAAGGCTGAACCCGAATATGAAAGAGGTGGTGAAGAAGGAAGTGATCAAATGGTTAGATACGGGTATCATCTTCCCCATCTCTGACAGCAATTGGGTTAGTCCTGTCAAATGTGTACCAAAAAAGGGAGGAATGACGGTAATACAGAATGAGAAGAACGAGTTAATCTCAACTCGTGCAGTCACGGGGTGGCGTATTTGCATGACTATCGGAAACTGAACACAGCCACCCGGAAGGACCATTTCCCCTTGCCTTTCATTGACCAGATGTTGGACAGGTTAGCTGGGCGATCTCAATCTGTTTCTTGGACGGATACTCGGGGTATAACCAAATCTCAATAGCCCCGGAAGATAGAGAAACGTCCTTCACTTGTCCGTATGGCATCTTTGCCTTTCAGAGAATGCCCTTTGGGCTTAGGATGCACCGGCTACATTCCAGCGATGCATGTTAGCCATTTTCACTGACATGGTTGAGGATATTATGGAGGTGTTTATGGATGATTTCTCCGTGGTGGGGGATTCATTCGAAGATTGTCTTCACAACCCAAAAAGAGTGCTCAAAAGATGTGTGGAGACAAATGTAGTGCTGAATTGGGAGAAGTGCCATTTTATGGTATAAGAAGGAATAGTGTTGGGGCATCGAGTGTCCAAAAAGGGAATTGAAGTTGACCAAGCCAAGGTTGATGTGATTGAGAAGCTGCCGCCGACCCACGTTTCGGAAAGGTCAGTGAGTAA